TTTTATAAAAAAAATAAATATTTAGATTTATTTATATAAATATTAAAATAAAAATAATAAATCTATTTACACTCTTAAAAATAAAATATTTTATTTACTATATATAATATTTGACAACAAGTAATGATCCTTAAAATTAAAATGACGCTGTATTTGTAATGAATAAAACCTATTTTTATAAGAAATTTAACTTGAGTATAAACAATATTCTATACTTAAAAAATGATAAAAAAAGAAACAAAATCTAAACTAATATTTTATAATTATAACTAATTAATATTTATTATTTTATTTGGCTTTTTATGAAATTTAAATTCCTAACCAATATTAGTTAGGACGTTATTAAATAATGAATTTTTAGTTAACCTGACCATAAAAGAGAGTACAGATTAATTTCACTTTCTCAAATATAACCAGTATTTAGGAACAAAGATACTATGCACATTAATTTTTTTCACTCACATCGTTCCAAACCGCATCATAATTGGATTAAAATAAATGTGTATGCTGCTAGAGCTTTTCCTAACTTTTGTTTTGGTGTGGATTTCATTGCTAGAGACTACCAAGGCGGAAGTGTTGCAGCAAAAAACATGGCTCCCTTAGGCTCCTATATGGCCAAAGAGTGAAAGTGTTGGGCACAACAGTAAATTTTGAGGCAAAAATGAAATAGAGCAGTAAAATGGCACCAGGTTCGTCCTTAATTTTGGGCTATGTCCACCGGACTAACTCACAATAAACCTTCACTATTTAAAAATAGTAGGTACAAAGAGAGAGTATTTTCTAGACAAATTCTAGAGGTAAAAAAATACAACTGGAGATTAACCCAAAAATAGTGAAACAGTGTTTTCCAAAAGCCCCCTGACATTGATTTTTCCCTGACATTGATTTTTGATCTTTTTCGCAAAATATACAAAAAATCGTATTTAATAAGTAATTTATAGAATTGAGTAGAATATCATTTCCACAGGGATTGTATACAAGTCTACTAAAAAATTATGTTAATCTATTTATTATTTTAAATGTAATAGGAGAATATTTTTAGAAAACTAATTCAACAAAAAAAAGCAGATAAAAAGAAATCAAGCCAACAAATTTGATTAAAAGAAAAATCAAGGATAAAGGCTACACGCGATTTTGACTTCACTTAATTTATTCAATTTATTTATTAGTTCGGTTAATCAATTTTAATTGTTCAAGTAGGGAAAATAATCCTTAAAAATTCACTAACAAGCTCTCGATCCCGGTGTATTGTATAACTATTTTCAATCCGGTCTACTTACCTATCTTCCAATAGTGCAAATCAAACATAAATTAAATCATTAAGTTTTATAGTTTATTTTGAATTCATTAACCTAAGGTCATTAACTTATGAAAACCCCCCATGAGTCATCAAACCATATAGCTTCCACATCAAGTTATTATTCTCATGTAATTTACTTACATTTTTTTGCATATTAAGAAACAATTTTCCGATTAGTGATTAATTGAAATAAATCAATTCTAGGGGAGAAACTCAGCCTGAAAGCATTTTAAGTTTAATAATAAATTATACTTTGAACAAAGAAAAACAAATCTAATATTAATAAATTGGAAAAGAAATTATAAATTGGAAAAGAAATTAAGCTACATCAGATCCCTAGTATGAGAGTTTAGTTCGACATAGTAATTAAATAAAACTCAATAATACTTTATAAGAATGCCATAATCAATCAGAATAATGAAAGAATAAAACAAGATTAAGAGTTTAGAGATAAAAATTAGTCAACAATTAATTCGGGACGACTTCCTTAAATCTTAACACAAATCTTAAACACTTGAAGTCTTGGAGAGAGTGAGAAGAACAATAGAACAAAAATTATCAAAACTGGAGATGGTATATACAATGAATGGCTCCTCTCTTTATGTAGATTTCCTAGGAGAAAATCCGACTTCGTTTAGGAAATAAAGTCCTCATTAAATAAGAAATCTTTTTGGAAATAGGAAACTGTTTAGGTTTTGAATTTCTTCTCAATTAAAACTCTTCCATGCGCCTAAATAGGATTAGAACTTTATTTGCACTTTATATCTCAGGTGGACCCATGTAAGTGATAGGATCTGGCTGGCATTTTTGACTCAAAACAGCACTTGATTTATAGCACGGGCGTGCTGTGAGGATGGTCTGGGCGTGCCGAAACTAGATTCTACGGAGGGTTCAGCATGGGTCGTGCTTAGGGTCACACCTAGATAAGAATTTGTGGCATGGGCGTGCCACATAGCATGGTTAGGGCGTGCTAGGCTTTGAGTCTCCATGATAAAATTCGGCACAGGCTGTGCTTAGGTAAACACGCCTTTGGGTTGATGTCCTCTTTTGGCACCTTTTGGCACGGGCATGCCATTATAGCACGGTGGCGTGGCTTTAGAGTTTGGAGTCTTCACTTGAATTATTCCTTGAATCCAGCAGGGCATGTAGGTTGCACGGGCAGAGCATGCTAGAGCCTGAATGCGTGCTAGAGCTTGAGTGTTTTGCTTTATTTTGCTCTTTTCTGTGCCAAAATCCTAAAAATTTCCTCAAGATCAAGTGGATTATGATTCAAGGAAGCTTTGCACAAAAACATAAATAAAACTAGAAATAAAACTAAATAAGTAATAAAAATGCTAAAAATCCTAATAAGAACTATATTAAAAATACTATAAAAATAACACCTAACACCTTTCCGTTTCGTACCTAACTCCCAAACCCATCTCTGGTTTAAAACCGAATTAGTCAATTACAAAGAATCGACTAATTCAAGAATTTTTCCTAAATAAGGGTGGTGACTCCAAATAAAACTCTTACCAAAGTAAAAGAATCTTTTTCCGAGGATTAAACGGGTTTAATAAAAGAAAACCATTTTGATGAATAAAATCAATCAAGCCCATTCGATTTGGTTCTTTTCAATCTTTTGGAAAAATCACGTGTCCTTACTAAGCCTCAAATGGTGATTTTAATCACCAAAGAAAAGAAAAAGACAAAAACTTTGAAATAGAACTCTCAGATGTTACCTTGCTTTAAAGAAAATCTAAAGATTTGAGTGAAAATGGTCAAGAACACCCAATACCTTTAATGCTTGTTTGTTAATCCAAGTTTCAATGGATTATACAAGTGTTTGTTGTAAACCAATTATGAAATTAGGGTGAAGTTTTAATAAAATTGAATTGCTTTGAAGATTTGAGAGTAGAAAACAAGTTTTTACTTCAAATCTATAAGCAAGAAATGATTTTGCAATAGTTTCTCCATTTAGAAAATTCTCAACCTTTTTTTTTTTTTTTTTTTTTTTTTTAATCCTCTAAAATTTATTTTGTAAACTTTTTATTCTGATTGCCAATAATATATTCTCCTTTATTTATTATTATTATTTTTTTAAATTAGTCGATCAACAATGCTTCCATATTTAATGGCTATATATATTTATTGATTTTTACAGAGGAAGAGAGATATTTTGTAGATAACTTATGATTATAGATTATAATTTCGCGATGATTCAAAACAATTTGATTATTTGATTATACATTTTTTCAAAGAGGAGGTTATTTCTAATGGTCGACGGAGAGAAAAATGTAAAGTGAGAATAGATTTTAAAAATCGCTATTTAAATTGGTTTGGTCCATGGATGAGCCATATACTGAATTTGGGGAAATTTTACTTCTAAAAACTGAAGCTTTCATAACTTGCTCAACTACATGTAAGCCCCAAGCTCAAATTTCACAAAATAAGTTCAACTACATGCATTTGATGAGCTCAAATTTCACAAAATAAGTTCAACTACATGCATTTGATGGGCACATTATATAAGTCAAATATCCAGCCAAAAACAAATGTAATTTCAGAAGCTACACTTGTGATTTACAGAGAAACTTGCCTATCTACGGCCGGTGCATGGACCCACACCATACACCAAGAATTAATTTTTTTTATTTAAGCAAGAATATTTTTTATCATTTATTGGAAAAATAAAATAAAATAAAATAATAACAATTTTTTAAAAAACTTTTTTTTTAATTGGTTAGTATACATCGGATTGGATAAATTTAATCCATTTAGAAATTTCAGCTTAAGGGGATGAGTATCACCCAAAATATATATTATATATATATATAATATATATAATATATATATATATAATATATATAATATAATATTTTTTTTTTTTTTGTTTTTTGCTTGCTATTCCTTTTTTGAATGTTCCAAAATGTTTGTAAGATTTTTAAATTTATATATTTAAACAATTATTTTTCCTCTCATAACCTTTATAGTTGTTTATTAAATGAAAGACTTTTATTAATATTTAAGGCAAAAAAAAGGTAAAATGATTCTTGTTGACTAAATTCTTAACACGCGTGTCTTGTCAAACCATGCAAATAAAATGGGACGAAATGAGTAATTATCTAACAATGTCTTTTAAACACACAAGTATATTCCTTTCAAAAAAATAAAAATAAAAAACACACACACACAAGTATATTACTACCTCACAAAAAAGAAATTGTATCTCTGCTGCAATCCATGAGTCTAACTCAAATCCATAATCCTCTTTAATCAATATCAAGTTCAATGCCAACAAGTTTTATGCTTTATCATTATATTAATCATATAATATTATATAATAATAATATATTATATATATATATATATATATATATATATATATATAGATATATGGGATTATGTTTATATATAGATATATGGGATTATGTTTTATTGGCGAGACCTCCCACTTCCCACATAGATAAGAAAACCAACCAAAACACACTTGATTGGAAATTAAAAAATTCTTTGGTTCTTCTTCTTCTTCTTCTTCTTCTTATTATTATTATTATTATTTTTCGGCTTTTTGGAAGAAATGTGATAAAATATGAGAAAAATAAATCTGATCGAAATCAATATATTTTAGAGCTAGAAAAAGAATATATTTCATTGACATTATTCAATTTATTACACCCCACAACAGTTATTTTGGTACAATGCAAATGAAGACATAAAACTACAAACTATATATCTTTTATGCATGCAAAAGATGGGTATATTGAAATTAAGGACGGAATGGTACGGGAATCAATTCAAGGTCTTGTTTTCTTTTGATAACTCCTCCAAAATTCTCAGTCATGTCAAGATTCTCCGAAGTTATTCTTCCAGGAAGTTTCCAGTCAAAATGATATAGCAAATTTGCAAGGAAAATCTCTAGATTAACCATACCAAATGTCATTCCAGGGCATATTCTTCTTCCTGCACCAAATGGAGTATATTCAAAATGGTTGCCCCTGTAATCAATTGAACTATCAATAAATCTTTCCGGAACGAATTTCTCAGGTTCAGTCCAAATTATAGGATCTCTTCCGATTGCCCATGTATTTATGAAAACCCTAGTATTAGGATAGACGTCATATCCACTAATTTTAGTCTTTTCCCTGCAAAGCCTTGGAATTAATGTAACTGCAGGATGTAATCTCAATGTTTCATTAATAATTAACTTCAACCATTTTATTTCGTGAAGTTTTGCTTCATCAACGTTTCCACTTTCACCAAACAAACTCCGCAATTCTTCTTGTGCGTTTTTCATTATTTCCGGATTTTTCATCAACTCCGCCATTGCCCATTCTGTAGTTTTGGAGGATGTGTCGCTTCCAGCGCCAAACATACCCTGCAATTATTGGAATAGAAGCCTAATTAGGAGCAATCAAAAAGCAAGCAATCGCCAGTTGAACAAGCAATCGCCCAGTTGAAACCTCGAAATTTCAAATAAGAGCCAGTTAAACTCTTAAAAAAGAGGAAGATAATATATACTAAACAAGGATTACTGCTTTGGATGTTGACGTCAGTTAAAGGAACTGAAGATTTCCCATTTTTGTTGAAGATCCAAAAGAAACATTCAAGAAGAATATCCAGCTTGGCTCCCATCGTCTCGTTCTTGAAAGCTGCCGCCCTGCCTGTTCGCTTTTATGCTCTTTCTAAGAATACCCTTCAAGAATCTCATCTGTTTCACCAATGCAATTTCCAAATTTCTTGACCTTTCCCTTTTGACTGGAAAGGTCAGCATTTTAAGGAAAGGGAAAGATATCAACCTGTGCTGAGACCCTCCTAGTGACTCAACTAATATCATCAATAATTTTTCAGGCAACGCTTATTTGGATTTTTGGCTTTTATGGCCCGAGACAGTATTTCTGCAAAGTTATAGAGTTTGTTTAAAGCAAATAAAGTATGAACTATCAGATTAACAGAACTTCCTCTTTTGATCGCAGAGATTTTAACAAACACTCTGCAAATTTCTTTCTTCCCTTAACGGACGAGAACGACTGTATTCGTTTTGTGCTAAGTAATTCCAATGGCAAAATTTTTCTCATTTGTCTCATTGAATCTCCGTACAGCCCCAAACCTATGTCATTTCGGTTGTAAAAAGCACTAATTTCTCCAGCAAGGACAAGCGGTCGATCAGCGGAAAATGGGATCTTTGGTTCTCATTTACTTCTTTTGGCTGTTTCCGGCGAAGAAACAACAAGATAACCAAGTTTAATACTCATTACCGGTCCGTATTTTTTGGCCAACTCCGTTATTCGGCGGTGAGGGAGATCACCAGCGAGCTGGAGAATATTACCTAAGAAAGGTAATTTCCATGGTCCTGGAGGAGAGTTGGAATCATGTTTGGATAATTTCTTAGATACTTTTAATAGGACCAGAAGAAAAAGAAGGAAACTGAAAAGAACTGGAAAAGAGAGGATTTGTTGTTCCATAGTGAGAATACTATTTGATTATGGAGAGGAATGAAGTAGAGAAAACTGAGATTGTTGTGTCGTGGTTCGTTAACCATATTTGCATATTTATAAGGTAGAGACAGCTTTTAAATGAATTTAAAAATAGAAACCGTCAATTAGTCTGTCATGGACGTCGAACGTAAGGATAGAAAAAGCTTCAAATTTGATGGTTGGAGAAATTTCCATTGTTACGGCGGAGGGTCAGAATGATCCTATTTTGGTTAGAAAGCTTGAAGAAGAATTGGAAGGATTGGAGTTCTACAGTGAGAACAGTATTTAGTTAAAACACATTTGCATGTTTTTGGGTAGGGAAATTTCCCTAGAAAATAGAGGGCAATTTTCCAGAATTCTGTAATATATGTACACACCTACAAAGTCTGTTTTGACATTTATTGCGTTTCAAGAAGTACAGCCATCTTAAAATGTCTATCATATTTACGGTACCCATGTCCAAAATCCATATATCTTTGAACGTGTCTTATTATTATTATTTTTTTATTAATTTGAAACACCTTAAGGCTTCTTTGAAAATTTTAGTAACACTTGATAATTTCATAAAATTTATAATTTAATTAATTAATAAAAAATTCTAAAAATGGGGTTTTAAACATAAATTAAATAATTTATTCATATTTGAAATCAAAATTTAAAAGAAATAAAAATATGGGAAAAAAAGACCTAGTAATTGTTTCATGCTATATCCATTATATATTATCAATTTCAAAAGTGAATTTGTTATCCCGTATTGATTTGACATAAAGTCTTTGTTCAAAATATAAGACTAAGACAATCATCTTCCTCTTGAGTTAATTTTTAGAAAGTGAGTCAGACCTAATCTATTTTATAACAGGATTTATAATATTAGTTTAAATTGAAGAATTATATTAATAATTTTTTTCCAACCGGCAAAGGACTGGAGCTGCCAGGTTCAACATGAGGATTTTCTTGCTGATGATATGGCTTATTCTTTCTCTCTTGGGACTCATTATTTGGATCATCCTCCGTCAGATCTTAATTTATGGCTTCTCCATGATGTTAGTGTGATTTCCCATACTAGACAGTGTGTTTGGCCTTGGTCTTTAGAGCTTTGCTCTTCCCCACTTTTTTTTTTTAATAAAAAAAATTCAAATTTTATCTGTATGTATTGGGTGTAATTTATTTTTACATTTACATTTATTTTCCCTTTCTTATTATCACTTTAATTATAGAAAAATTAAAATTTTGATTTTACAGAAATAACTAAGTTTTTCATTATATCGAGACATTTATTTCATAAGTTTTAAGGGCATATTTAAAAGGTGTAGTTAATTATGCATGGAAAAATGAAATAGAATATTTACTATTCTACTTGTAGTGCTTCAATATGAGATAAAATTAGGAATGGTTTTATAGTAAAATTAAATGAAAATTTTTTAATTTTAAAAACAAAAATTTAAGTATAATAATTACCAATGTCTAAAATATAAATCATTTAAGATTTTTGTATAAAGATTAAGGAATCAATTAATTCTCCTAGATTATAACAAACTGAAGAATAATTTGACCAAATTATCTTTTATCTGAAAAATGTAAATTATGAAAGTTGCCACTGGTGACCGGTGGTGGTGGCTGCCCGTGGCCAGTGGTGGTGGCCAATGGTGGTAGACAGTGGTGTAGCCAGTGGTGGTGGTCGGTGGTAAAGGTAATTGGTACTAGTAACTATGACCATTAATAAATTAAAAAATATATAGATTTATAAGGTTTGTTAATGTCCGAAAATTGTTTTACTCTCTCAAAAATGAGAAGTTATTTTCCTTAAAAAATGAATTAATTTTCTTTTGATCAGGAAAATATTTTCTGTTGACTTATTTTTCTGAACGCCTCAAACAACGGAATTAAGTGCTATTTCAGATTTCATAATCCGTAATTGTTATGAAAGTTTGAATGTTAGTAGTAATTAGGTATTACTGATTATATTTCAGGTTTTCAGTAATAATCTATAGAGACAATAGGGTTGAATTAAATGGTTTATGATTTATAAATTGTTGTTCGAGTTTAACTACTTCCTGATTCTTAATGCTTTTATTAAATCGAAAGGGATTGCTTAATACCCGATCGTTTAATAATTTAATAATTAGAGTTAATGAGGGTGCTGGGCTCATAGTTAATGAAATAGGGGAGTTTTGGGAATTTATCAATGCCTTTTGGTAATTTCAGTTAAGTATTCAAAGATGTATTAGATCATAAGTTGTCTTGTGATCAATTGTGCACTGGGATTAGAAATCAACCTTAAATTGGTTTTTCATCAATTTTTGCATCACTACTTTTAGTTTAATTTAATTAATTTTCTTTTTTTGAACTGTTAAGTTTTGAATTTTTCACAAACAAACCCTTCTTTTTAAACACAAAAATTAAGATTTCAAGTCTCAGTCGACTGAAATTAACCACTTCTACCAGTTATTCCGTAAATTTTAAATTTGGTGAAGCCGACAAACTCAAATTTTTGGCGCCGTTGCCGACCTGAAAGATTAATTATATTTGTGTCTTTATTTTGTTAAAAAATAAGTTTTTCTTACCTTTGTGTAGTGTTGTGGTGTTCAGGTTTTGGTAAAATTTGTAAGAATTGGAAGGAATTGAAAGTCCATTTGGTTTATGACAGAAGTTCTTCAATCTGGTGAAATTATTTTTTGAATCCTGAAGTAGAAAAAAACAGCTAAACGTTTTGAAGAAAATTAGCATAAAAAAGCTAAACAAGCTAATTTTGAGTCCAGCCTCATCTGAACGGGCAGATTACTGATAGTTCAAACATTCTCCGAGGGAATCAAGTTTCAGATTCAGAATCTGAAATTGATACCAGGCTACCAGACCTTGAAAGAATTGGCACAACCTGAACCTAAATCAGCAACCTTTGTGCATTCAATTTCTCCTACTTTAGATGTTGGCTGCTTTTGAATTAAAATCTGGTCTAATCCATTTGTTGCCTAAATTTCCATGGACTTTCAGGTGAGGATCGCACATAAACATTGAAAGGAGTTCCATGTGGTGTGTTTCTAGCATGAAGAGCCCAGGAGTTTCAGAAGAGCAAATTAAGCTTCGAGCCTTTCCCTTTCTCTTTCTCATTGGAAGACAAAGCTAAGGACTGGTTGTATTACCTTCCTTCTGGATCGATTAATTCATGGAATGAGATGAAGCGAATATTTTTAGAGAAGTATTTTCCTGCATCTTGGGCTGCCAACATAAGGAAAGATATTTGTGGGAAAGACATTTGTGGCATTCGGCAATATAGTGAAGAGAGTTTATATGAGTATTGGGAGCGGTTTAAGAAACTTTGTGCAAGCTGTCCCCATCATCAAATTACTGAGCAGCTGTTGATCCAATATTTTTATGAGGGACTTATGCCGATGGATCGAAATATGATACATGCTGCTAGTGGAGGTGCTTTAGTTGACAAGACACCGGAAGATGCAAAAAGATTAATTGCTAACATGGCAGCAAATTCCCAGCAGTTTGGAATGAGAATGGATCACACGTCTAAGAAGGTTAATGAGGTAAGTACGTCTAATCTTGAGAAACAAATTTCAGATTTAACTTCTTTGGTTAGACAAATTGCTGTAGGAAATATGCAAGCTGTTAAAACATGTGGAATTTGCTTGGTTCCTGGTCATGCTACTGATATGTGTCCTACACTTCAAGAGGATGAACTAGTGCAGCAAGCCAATGCAGTAGGAAATTTTGGACAGCAACAACGCAGGTATGATCCCTATTCTAATTCTTACAATCCATTCCCTATCTAATGTTCTACAATCCGGGATGGCAGACACCCGAATTTGAGTTAACTGGAAATCACCAATGGCAAAATTGCTACCAACCAGCAAATGACACAAGTGAATCAAACATCTTTTCCTCTCAAAATCAAGGTATGTCACTGATGATATTGTTAAAGCATTTCGGCTACTAATACACAACAGTTTCAGCAGGAAACTAGGACTAGTATTCATAATATAAAGAAGGCAGAGTTGTCAGCTTAGCTCATCTGTGGGGAGCAAACTTGAAGCTGCAAAATCTAGAAGGTTCCATCGGGCAATCTGTGATTAATTCCTAAAAGAAAATGCTAGTGC